GTTGGCACAGCAATTTACGTCTGGTTGGATTGCCCGAAGGAGCCGAAAAAGACAACCTGATAGATTTCTTGAAAAGATCGCTGCCGATGCCGCTCCCGTATCTAGCGGGAAAAGATATTGAAGTGGAATGAGTGCATCGCGTATACACAAGGCTGTCCTCAGAACGCGCTACACCACGGGTTTTCCTCTTTAAATTACTGCGGTACATGACAGGGACCTCATTTTGTGGGCCGCCAGACTCCGTGCCCCAGTGAAAACATCCGACGGAGCAGCGATGTCTTTTTATTTCCGGATTTATCTTCAATCACCGCACAAAAAAAGGAAGTGCATTTGCATCAGTTAGGAAGGAAATGAAAGAAGCTGGCAGAATTTTCTGTTTTATCCAGCAACACTGAAGGTCATTCTCAGTCAGGGTGAATGCAAAATGCTATACTCTCCAGAAGAGGCAAGATTTTTTTTGAGATCTCATTCACCCAGCAGCTCTTAGACTTTAACTGGGTATTTGCTGTCTAATTGGCCTTAGATGGATGCTTAGTTCACCCTTTTCATCTTTTATATCAAAGTTACTAGAAGTATTGATTACTGATAATGTCGTTGTGTGCCCTGATTTATGTTCGTTTCTAAATTATAATTTTTTTTTGTTTTTATTTTATATATATATATATATATATATATATATATATATATATATATATATATATATATATATATATATATATATACACACACACACACACACACACATACATACATAAATATACATACATACATAAATATACATAAATATACATATATATACATATATATATACATATATATATATATACATATATATATATATATATATATATATATATATATATATATATATATATATATATATACACACACATACATACATATATACATACACATACACTTAAGAGATACTACTTAGTCAGTGTATGACTATGGGGCCAATGTTAGTGCTTCAGTATTGTGCAGGTTTTGTTGACGCCACGGATCATATTAAGGACTTGATCTGCCATAGTTCATGGGAATGCGTTTATGTTTTTTCAATTACTGACGGAAGATTGGGGGTGGGTTAATGATAGACTCAACTGGTTTTACTTGCAAAATTGTATTTTGTCTTATTATGCAGTAATTCTGTTTGATACTTATGACTGACCTTAATATTCTGACGATATTCAGAATATCTTAATATTCAGATTTTTTGCAAAGAAGAAAGATTGACAGTGTTAGTTCAAGAATCCCATTTGAAAGAGGAGGATATGCACAGGTGCAATAATAAGTTTTATCAAGTGGTATCTCACTCATCTGCGAATACTAAAACTAAGGGTCTCTTTATATTAGTGTGGAGGACTTTAAATATTTCTGTTTTAGATAAAGGCTGTGATACAGATGGTAGAATACCACATAAAAACAGTAATAGAAAACAGGAATATTGTATTTCTTTCAGTTTATGCCCCTGCTACTTCTGTCCCTAATTTTTTCTCTGCTTTATCAGCTTATCTATTGAAATTCTCAGACTTTCAAATTGTAATGGGTGCAGATACAAAATCTGTAATGTCACATATATTGAATAGATCTTGACCAAAGGAATCATACTTTCAAACTTCTTACTCTGACAAACTTCAGCAATGCATAGTCTCATCCTCATTGGTGGATAGCGATTATTAAACTCTTCTGCTAAGTCTTTCACTTTCTTTTCTGCTAGACATAAATCCTATTCACGAATTGACTATTTTCAAATCTACTTCTCTATCTTCAGCTATTCGTGATGCAGATATTTGTTCCTTATCTTTGTCGGACCATGATGGAAATTTGTGCAGATTAACTTTGAGCCCACGGCCACCTCGTGCCACCAGATGGCGTTTTAACCCTAAATTGTTACAGGATGAAAATTTTTGCAATCAATTCAGAAATAAATTTGCAGTGTTTATTGAAATTAACCAAGGCTCAGTAGATGATCCACGAACACTTTGGAATGCAGTTTAAGGATTTATAAGGAATAACTAAATTTTATTTGGCTCCTTTCTTCAAAAAAGCAGTCACAAAAAGAATGCTGAACTAGAATTACAGCTCCAGAATCTGACTAGAGATAATCAATGTTGTTTTTCAGACAATACATTTAGCAAAATTTTGGCGGTTAGGTCTGACCTCAATTCATTACTGAGATCCAGGGAAGAATTCCTCATTCAAAGATCAAGGCAAAATTATTATTTTCAAGGGAGCAGGCCAAGCCATCTTTTTGCTCTAAGACTACGCAACAATTAAAGTTCGCTAATATCTCAGCAGCAAAATCCCAATCTGGGCTTATTGTGACAGACCCCAAAGATATTAACATAGAATATTAACCATTCTTTTTTCCCTAACAGTTATAATTCTACTAATGGCATCCCTGATTCTTTTGTATCTTTTCTCTCCAATCACGATTTACCTAGGTTGTCAGATTCAGAATATTTGGCAGAGGCTTTACAAGAGCTGGAATCAGCAATTCGAGCTATGAACAAGGGTAAATCTCCAGGCATAGATGGTATTCCAATCGAATTGTATATTAATTTTTGGTCAGATTTAGGGCCCTTTATGTTAGATATCTGTATAGATATGGCCGCAGTGCAATGCAAGGAATGGAGAAGGTATGGAAAAGCAAGGACATCAGGATTGTAAAAAAGATCAGTGTAATCAATGCCATCGTTTTCCCAATCTTCATGCATGCATGTGAGAGCTGGACACTCAAGAAGAAAGACAGAAGGAAGATCTATGCTTTCGAATTGTGGTGCTGGAGGCAAATGATGTGCATACCATGGACAACGACAGGATCACAAACAAAACGATCCTGGAGCGTGTCAAACCAAATGTATCGCTAGAGGGCTAAATCACCAAGCAGCGGCTCTTGTTCTTTGGCAATAATAGCGAGTCAACTCCATGGAAACAGATTTAATGCTCGGTGCAGTCAGTGGATCAAGAAGAAGAGGGCGTCAGAGAACACAATGGCTGGACACAATCAAGACTGACACAAACTTGAACATGGAACAACTGAAAGAAGCAGTCAGAAATAGGAAAGCGTGGCAAATCACGTTCCATAAAGTGGCCGAAAGTCGGTGTCGACTGATTGGCTAATCATCATCATCATGTTAGATATGATACATTTTTTTCAGTTACAGAAGGCTCTTTTCATTAATCTATAAATATAGCTGTTATTTCTCTCCGGTTGAAAAAAATATAAAGATCCAACCTCTTGTTCTAGCTACCGGCCAATTTCTTTGATTGGGACTGATGTTAAATTATGCACTAAAGTACTATCTTGTTGTTTAGAAAAATTCATGAATATGCTAGTCCATCATGACCAAACAGGATTTATCAAATCTCGCTCTGCTATGGATAATTTGCGTAGATTATATCATATTATTAATTCAACAGTTATGTTATCTTCCCCCTCTGCAGTATTCTCTCGATGCAATGAAAGCTTTCGACTAGCTAGAACGGAACTATTTATGGGCAGTTTAACAACGTCGGGCCTAGGATTGAGTTTTATAAACATGATAAAGGTCCTGTATGCCAATCCAGCAGTTACTGTACTCACAGGCTCCGTTTGTTCCAATTCATTCTTTATACATCGAGGTACTCGTCAGGGTTGCCTGCTCTCTCCTCTCTTACTTGCCCTATCCTTGAAACCTTTAGCCCAAGTGGTCCAACAATCTGAAACTATTTCTACTATAATTATACGGAATACTCATCATCATATTTCTTTGTTTGCTGATGACATTTTAATGATTTTGGAGAAGTCAGCACATTCTATCCCTCACGTCTTAAAATTATTTGACCATTTTGAATCTCTCTCTGGGTTTAAAATGACTTGGAATAAGTCCTGTTTACTTTCCCTCAATTCAAAAATTGATCCGTTGTCCCTTCCTAAATCTATCTCATTGATTCAAAACTTTAAGTACTTGGGGATATAGCTGTGTATCCTTCCCTGCAGGAAATCATCTTAAAAAACTAAAACAGTATTCTAACTACTGTATCCGCAGATTTAGAAAACTGGTCGCGTCTTCCTACCTCTTTTCAGACACGTATATCAGTGATTAAAATGAATGTCCTCCTACGCATTAATTTCTTTTCTTCTCTGATTCCTCTCTCTCCACCGGTTGGCTACTGGAAGAAACTTGATGCATGTGTTTCATGATACATATGGGATGGGAAACGTCCTCACATTAAACTGACTACTTTACAACTATGTAGATTACACGGAGGTCTTTTTCCAATTTCAGACTGTACAAGCTTTTTCCCTCCACCTTTTATCAGTTTGGTTTGATCCTGATACTTCTGTGTCTTGGAGAGCAATTGAGGAATCTTTTGTTTATCCATATAAGTTGAATCATATTTTTTTTTTCAGGGGTCCTGCTTAAACAATGTAAATCTCAGTTTGGTCCTATAATAACCCATGTTTTCTCCGCATGGAGGGATGTAGAAAGATGTTTACAACTATTCACAAAATGACATAGGCATTCACCTATTTTCCGTAATAATAATTTTCTGTCAGGCGGTACTCCATTTCATTGTCCACAATGGTCTCATAATAAAGTAAACCCTTTAGGAGTTATCTATGATGACAGTGGTTTAAAATCCTTCCAGAACCTTAAAACTCAATATAATTTTCCAGGCACCTCCTTTTTTATGTTTCTGCGCATTAAATCAGCTCTTCTGGCTTATGGGGTATCTTGGAACTTTCAACTATCTATTCACCCATTATGTAAATTCCTTCTGACAAATCTCCCTCCTCTGCTTCAGTTATATATATATATATATATATATATATATATATATATATATATATATATATATATTTATTTATATATATATATATATATATATATATATATATATATATATATATATATTTTTTTTTTTTTTTTTTTTTTTTTTTTTTTTTTATAAAACACAGATCAATAATAGGATAAAACTCAAGATGCAAAAGATTTATTGTGTGAAGCACTTGCCTTGATTTCTGGTTTAGGTATGTACAAAGTTTTAGCCTGAATTGTTGAAGGTGCCTCTTCATCCAAGAACTTTAGCACAACATCAGCCTAGAAAAGACAAAACAATAACTTCAACTCCAAAATTCAAGAGTAAACAATATGTCAGTTCTGGATACCAGAAATAAAAAGACTAACTAACCACATTCCACAAAACGGGGTTCTCCAGTGTAGCATCTCCCACCATCAAGTAAAGAGCATAGGTGCCAGAGATAGAGTCAAACTCTGCCTTTCTTTCAGCTGTGTCCAGCTCAAACTTATACAAGTTCTTACTGTCAGGTTCAGCCACAAACACAACTTCCTGACCTGTCTTCTGGTTGTGCAACCTTACAAAAGTCTGAAAGCAAGAAAGTGAGATTAGCTCTTGGCTAACTTCAAGGCAAATATTTTTCATGTCAACTATCCATATATTAAAATGCATTTTAAAGTTAATACTATTTATCAATGCTTAAATTTTCCAAATGTTTTATTACTCAAGATTTATTACAAGACATTATGGCGAGTTCACATTGCACAATTGTAACCCTGATTTTCACTCAAGTTTTGTGAAAATCCCAAATTAGGGCATGTTTAAGTGAAGTGGGTACAAACGCCTATGAAATATTATGCATGCTAAATGTCTGGAGAAAAAAAAAAAAAAAACACATCAGCAGAGCGACAGCCAATGAGAAAAAAACAGAAACAAAGAAAAAAGTTAAATTTGCTTGTTCAGCTGTGGCAGCAACTCAATTAAAATAATTATTTATTCACCTCCAACTCCAATGTGTTCTCGTTTTTTTTTTTTTTTTGTAGAAAGTTTTACTCCTTTTCTCCTGGATTGTCGATTGCAAAATCCTGCTTTCCAACATACATTTGTCTTTCTGTCTGTCTGTCCACAGTTGATGTCAGAATTAGCCCCCCTTTGATTTGTTTTTCTTCTTTAAATATTTCATAGAGGTTTAACAGAGCAAGGCAATATTCACAGTATGTGAGAATATTTTTTTTCTCCTGGAGAAAGTCTTTTGTTTTATTTTGGCTAGAACAAAAGCAGTTTTAAATTTTTAACCCTATTTTAAAGGTCAAAATTAATAGCACCTTTAAGCTATATTTTTTCCATAGTATACAGAACAAACCATTGTCATACAATAACTTGCCAAATTACCCTAACCTGTGTAGTTAATCTAATTAACCTGGTTAAGCCTTTAAACATTACTTTAAGCTGTATAGAAGTGTCTAGAAAAATATTTAGTAAAATATTATTTATTATTTAAAATAAATCAGTTATTAGAAATGAGTTATCAAAACAATTATTTTTAGAAAAGTGTTGAAAAAAATCTCAATTAAACAAAATGGTGAAAAGAATAAATAGGGGGCTAATAATTCAGGGGCGGGCAATAATTCTAACTTTAACTCTATTCTTCTATCTATCTATCTATCTATCTATCTTATCTATCTATCTATCTATCTATCTATCTATCTATCTATCTATCTATCTATCTATCTATCTATCTATCTATCTATCTATCTATCTATCTATCTATCTATCTATCTATCTATCTATCTATCTATCTATCTATCTATCTATCTATCTATCTATCTATCTACCTACAAAATATTCAAAAAAAAAAAGCTGTCATTTAAATAAAAATTAACAAACTATTTACTACTTTTAACCATTTATAATTAGCATACAAGAAGTTTATATTATTGACAATACAAGTTAAAAAATCTTATACAATTACAGTGAAAGTAATAAAGAGACCTTTTTCATGATGATTTATTTTATTTGCGATGGGGGTCGCATAATTTATCCGGAAACAGCAATTGGCAGTTGGCAGCCATCTTCCAGCCTCCACCACGGCGACTGAAGCTCTGCACAAGACTTTTGGCCAGCGGAGAAATAAAAATGGTCGTGCCCAACTGAGTCTGGTTCTCTCAAGGTTTTTTTTCTTCACTCCCATCAGGTGAAGTTTTTTTTCCCTCTCCGCTGTCGCCACTGCCTCGCATGGTTCAGGATTGTTAGAGCTACGCATCGATGAATTTGCTCTTCAGTGTTTGAACTCTCAGTAATGATTAAATCACACTGAACTGAAATAAACTGAACTTAAACACTAAAACCTGAACCACACTGTTCCAGTTACTATGACCATTTATGTGAAGCTGCTTTGACACAATCTACATTGTAAAAGCGCTATACAAATAAAGCTGAATTGAATTGATTTCAATATCAGATCATTAACAGTTCATTTCATATGCGTATCTTCTCCATTAATCCATGAGAAATACATGTTGTGGCATACAGTTTCATATGCGTGTCAGACTGTGATTGCGTGATTGAGTCGTGAATTATTGAATGCTAAGCTTTGTGTTATAAGTTTTGTTATTGAGTTGTGCAATGTAAACACAACAGCAATCTGACAACTATGAAAATCATGCAGTGTGAACTCAGCCTTCATTCCATCGTTTTAAAAGTATGAACCAGGCATGTTCTTTTAAATACTGGCCTGGTTATTTGTACACAGTCTAAAATTCATCAGAATTCAGAATCACCTGATGAGGGGTAAGTTCCACGCCTGTGATCTCATCTACTAACTGGAAGGTCATTACAAAGTTTTGATGGCTATCAGCCATAAAAGATGATTTGGCTTTAGTTGGATATTCAACTCTGAAACACAGAATTTAGCACAAACATCAGCACAATTAGACAATTAAATAAAAATAAACTAAAAATAGATGATGACCTTGTTGTTTTGGGGCCAATGCTCTGGTCCTTGTCCACCACAGATAAATCCATATTGTTAATTGCAACCCTGGTGGAGACCTTTACTTTGAGCTGAGAAAGTAAATAAAAAGCTTTAAAAGATACAAAACTATGAAATTGTTGTAATATAAAAAAACAACATTCAGACATTTGAACATTCTGTGAAAACTAAATAAATGAAATTGCAGCAATTACGAAAGAGGCCATTATATTTAAAAACTCTCCACAGCAAATGTTACATTCTCTTGACCTTAAACTGCACACTAAACAGTCAGAGCAATTATTCTTTACATATCTACAAAGTGAATGAAAGATGAACTTGACCAATTGCACACATAAATGTTCAGTGAATGAAGAAATTAATACAGTTCATTGCAACAATTATGAATTAAAGGTTAAGGTCAACACTTTGAATATGTAAATTATGAGCACCCATGGCAAGAGAAAAAGATTCAGTTAAGTACCTCAACATGGTTGGCAACAAATCGGCGGTCACCAGCAATGGCAACAGAGAACTGGTAATAGCCACTCGTTGGTTGGTTGGCCATGAAATTCAATTCAAAAATCCCACTGTGAATCAGAAAAACTGGTATTAACCAAAAAGTAAATTTATACAAATACAAAACAGGCTTTCCTTTTTGGATTATGCATGGCTAAATTATCTTTGATTTAGAAATGTGTGCAATAAATGAGCTAACTTTGATATAATACAAACATGAAGCACAACTGTGCTTGCTTGACAAGCAGACAAACCTAATTGTTTTACACAAACATGCAGATTAGAACTGCTGTTTACCATATCTGATGTGAATCATGTATTGAGAACTGTAAATGCTGATTTGTAAATAAAAGCCTAAACTAAATTAAATCATCATTTGATGCATTGTCTCTCTTAAAAATAATTGGATTAAGCCATTAATTGACTAATTAAAATCTTAAATGTACGTTATGCAATTAATTATATGCAATTAGAATTATCTGATAAAATTAATTTAAAATTTAAATTTTAAATTTTAAAATTAAAATATCAACATGAGAGTGATCAAGTAATGACCTAATTTACATTTGAGTAAATCTTTTAAATGAAGAAATGGAAGATCTTATTAATGATTGCACTGATCTTATCTGTAGACATTTTGTTTTAAACAGTTTTTGAACCATCAACATTAAAAAAAAAAAATTGTCATATAAAGCACATACTCTCTGAAGGTAAAGGGTGCCTGGCTTAGGATTGCAGATTTTGAGGACACAGAACTGGCAGACTCCACCAGCACGCTGGCTGAACTCAATGGCTGGCACAAGACATCTGTCACCTGAAGCTGAATTGACAGTACAGAAAAAAAACAGATCATTACAGGACTCTGCATCAAATCCTAAAAAGCCACATCAAAACTACAGACAACCAAGTTTGAATTTAGATTTTTTTTTTTTCCATTTTAAACCAGTTGCTAGTTTGAAGCTAATGCTATTGTGAGGTCAGTGTTGTTTTGAATGGAGAGTCAAGTTTGTGGATGTTTTGAGAGCTAGGGTCTCAAGTGGAGAAAGGGCACTTTTATCATTTACATTTTTTTAGCGTCTGACACATTAAATATAGCAAAATATATATTTTTCAGAAATTTATTTTAACATGTGCGAACAAAAGCATACAGAATGTAACACAACCTAGATATATCATCAAATTTGCACACAACTGCAGCATTTCCAACAAAATAGAAAAACAGTATATACTAAAAAACGAATTAAAGCTGCAAGCAGCATTGTGGGGCCCAAGCCCTTGTGGCACCACCATCTTTGTGACTTCATGAAAAGTGCACTAGCTAGCTAGTCATGGGCTGGTATCAGATTCTGGGGAATTGGGGAGGTTAGGGATGCAAAATATATCGACGGCCATATCGCTATCGGCCGATAAATGCTCTTTTTAAGATTAGCGTTATCGATCCGATGTCTAAATTAGTCTTAGACTAATAGATAATGTATATATATATATATATATATATATATATATATATGTGTGTGTGTGTGTATATATATATATATTTATATATATATGTATATATATATATATATATATATATATATATGTATATATATATATATATGTGTGTGTGTGTGTGTGTGTGTGTGTGTGTGTATATATGTGTGTGTGTATATATATATATTCAGTACAGTGTAACCGCGTGGTCTATCTGTGAATTTGCATAGGTCACGGATCATGCGCAGATTGTGAAAACAGCCGTTTGATTCAGATACCTGTACGTATTCGCAGGGGTTTCGTGTCCAATGCCTTTTATATGCAGTACAAAATAGCTGTCCTGATCGCAGGTGTTTTATGTGAAGTCAGTGTATGTTATATTAAACAAATTAACTTAAGATATCTCTCAGATTACATTAATACTGCTATAACTTAAGATAGCTACCTGTCCCTATCCCACGGCTTTTGTGTCAAATACTTTATATATCATATACAGTAACATCAGATACCTGTCCTGATGCCAGGGGTTTCATGTATAATTACTTTTATATTAGTTAACATCAGATACCTGTCCTGATCCCAGGTGTTTCATGTATGATCACTTTTATATTATATACATTAACATCAGGTACCTGTCCTGATCCCAGGTGTTTCATGTATGACCACTTTTATATACAGTAACATCAGATACCTGTCCTGATCCCAGGGGTTTCATGTATGATCACTTTTATATTATATACAGTAACATCAGATACCTGTCCTGATCCCAGGTGTTTCATGAATGATCACTTTTATATACAGTAACATCAGATACCTGTCCTGATCCCAGGGGTTTCATGTATGATCACTTTTATATTATATACATTAACATCAGATACCTGTCCTGATCCCAGGTGTTTCATGTATGATCACTTTTATATTATATACAGTAACATCAGATACCTGTCCTGATCCCAGGGGTTTCATGTATGATCACTTTTATATATATTACTATCAAATACCTGTCCTGATCCCAGGGCTTTCATGTATGATCACTTTTATATTATATACAGTAACATCAGATACCTGTCCTGATCCCAGGTGTTTCATGTATGATCACTTTTATATATATTAACATCAAATACCTGTCCTGATCTCAGGGGTTTCATGTATGATCACTTTTATATATATTAACATCAGATACCTGTCCTGATCCCAGGGGTTTCATGTATGGTCACTTTTATATTAGTTAACATCAGATACCTGTCCTGATCTCAGTTGTTTTGTGTATGATGACTTTAAATAAAAATAGAAAATAAATATGAGTTATGTTAATTAACTAAGATCGAGAAAGAAAAAATAACCACGATTTATTACAGAAAATGTGGTATTTATTTGTTTAAACATGACTGAATACCATATTTTAAACTACAAAAACATGGTTAATCTTACCACAACCATTATTATTTGGTTTAAAATGGAAATACAAAAGCCCAGAGACAGTAAAACGGAGTAAAACGAGGCCAGCTGTTTTTGCTAATGAAATCTTTAAAATATAACATTATAAAAACAAAAAAATAACCTGTATGATTGTTTTTTCCCTCGTTATCCACCGCGGTAGGTTTTTTATCCATAATCATCCTGTTTGAAATGACCGGGATAAAAAAGAACCTGTACTGCGCATGATCGGTGACCTCTCAGTATTGTTTTTTTTTTAAGGGGGTGTTTCCCAAACACAGACCGAGCCACGCCCATTTTACGTCGTGGTAATGAAACCCCTGGAATTTAGTGCATGCCACTGTAATACAGCAGTTGAAGAGTCAAAATTAATGAGTTCAAGGGTAATGAGCCCAACTAAACCAGCCCCTCACTCCATTACGGTGACACAAAAAAACACCTACATTTCTGTTGGATCTCAATGAGAATGGTATATAAGTCAAAGCAGTCAGTAATAAGTGTGTCTGCTGTTGTTTGTGGAGTTGTTTAAAGATTCTCTGCTGAGACTGAAGGTGTTTTATTTTGTTTAATGCTGTAACTCAAGTCACTATTTGTGTTTCTTGTTTCTTTCCTTCAGTGAATGTGATTATAAACAGCAGGTGTTCATCAGTGTCTGATTTCACTCATTAGTCGTTATTACTCTTTCAGGTGAACTATATTAATGGACTAGTGTATGGAATAGTATGGAGAGCGTCATGGGGGAGTGGAGAGCATGAGACTGATTCCAGTGACGCTCCAGGGACAGACGAGTCTTCGCTGAGGTCAGCTTCCAGCCTCCACCGCTGAGACTGCAGCTCTTCACAAGACTTTTGGCCAGCGGAGAAATTAAAATGGTCGTGCTGAACTGAGTCTGGTTTCTCTCAAGGTTTTTTTTTTCTTCCTATTGGTAAAGTTTTTTTCCCTCTCCGCTGTCGCCACTGGCTTGCATGGTTCAGAATCTGTAGGGCTACACATCGATGGATTTGGTCTTCAGTGCTTGGATTCTCAGTAATGACTTTAAACCACACTGAACTGAGCTAAACTAAACTGAACTTAAACACTAAAAACTGAACTACCCTGATCCAGTTACTATGACCATTTATGTGAAGCTGCTTTGACACAATATACATTGTATAAGCGCTATACAAATCAAGCTGAATTGAATTGAATAGTGAACAAGGGCACAAAGTGCGATTTCAAACACAGACTTTAAAAACGTCAAATCTGAACTGTTAGCTCACAGTTTTCTGTTGTTGGTTACTTCCTTTTTAAACAGAATATTACTGTTTTAGTGAAAAAAAACATTATTTTACCGTAGAATCTGATCGTTTTTTTAACAGCAATGTTTTACAGTGCAAACTCTTATTGACAAATATGTCAATCAAATCAAAAACAAATTATTTGCTTACTTTGTGGATTTTCAGAAAGCGTTTGATTTAATTTGGCATGAAGGTCTGCTGTCTAAACTTCTAGAATCAGGTATTGGCGGTAAAACATACAACATAATAAAAAAAATGTATTCAAACAATCAGTGCGCAATTAAAATTGGAAATTAAGCTAACAGAATTCTTCACTCAGGGACGGGGTGTAAGACAGGGCTGTCACTGTCATCAACCCTCTTCAATATTTACATCAATCAATAAGCAATGCTCATAGAGCAAGCAGATACACCGGATCTCACGCTATATAACTCAAGTGTAAAGTTCCTGCTGTTTGCAGATTATCTGGTGCTGCTGTCGCCAACAGACGAAGGTCAGCAGCAGCAGCTGGATATCCTGCACAGCTTCTGTCAGACCTAAGCCCTGATCGTTAACTTAAAGAAAACCAAAACCCTAATATTTCAGAAAAAAAACCCTTATGTCAGGGAAAGAAACAGTTTCACCCTTGGTATGACAAATGTTGAACCTGCCACAAGCTACACATACCTTGGGTTGAAAATAAGTGCTAATTGAAAACTAAATCTGGCAGTGAATGAACTGAAAAAGAAAGCAAGCAAGAAGGGCCTTTTGTGCCATAAAAAAATAAAATAAAATCAACACATAGAAATTCCAGTTCGAATCTGGCTCAAAATTTTCCAGTCGGTGATTGAACCTATAGTGCTATACGGGAGTGAAGTGAGGGGGTCCTCTCCTCAGTCATGAGTTTAAAAATGCAATTGAAAGCCTACATGTAGAGTTATGTAGAAGCATTACAAGGGTACAGTGGAACACACCCAGCAATGCATGCAGGGCAGAATTAGGTCAGTATCCTCTACTTATAAAAATCGAGAAACGAGAATGGAATGAAGCAACAGGAAAGCAAAATTTAATTTAAAAGTTATTTAGACCTAAACAGAGATTATAAGACTGCAGTATATCTGAGTGCAGTAAAGTACAGTCAATTAAGAACAACGATTCAATCCAGCCTGATTGCTCACAGTCTAACTTTAGAGATGGGCTGATACAGACAGAACTGGCAAGCCAGAGAGAGCTGCATGTTCCCACACTGTGTCCAGGCAGAGGTGGAGACAAAAACTATCAGCACATCAGAGAAACATTCAATCCCAAACTACAGAGCATTTACCCTTAATTCATGGAGTTATAATACACACAACTGTGTATTATAAAACACACAAAACACAACTGCATTATTTACTAGTAGGGCCGGGCGATAATTCGATATCCATAATTATCACGATGAATAGGGGTGTCACGATTCTCCAAATTCTCGATTCGATTACATTTTCGATTCTTAAGTCACGATTCGATTCGATTTTCGATTATGAATAATTAATTAATTAATTAATAACAAATTAATTATTTGTAGTCTACCGTTTAAACTACCTGACCTGTATGGTCTTTGTTTTACCCATAAACAAATCATACAGTAAATGAATAAAGGCAAGTTACACAC